CGGTAAAGTTTCCCGTTACATATCCGAGGGAGATACTTGTGGATCGTTGTCAGTATATTTGTACCTGAACGTTTTGACCCGTTCGGATTAATTATATTTGGTCAACGTCAAGCCTAGTCACTATTTTATGTGTTCAAAAAAATAACTGGCGTCAAACTGCCCGACAGTCACGTGTAATTTTACACCACTGCCGCTACTCTTAAGCTGAACATTTCGGTTTAGTTGTCAATCATATTGTTGTGCGACATTACAACAACTCTTAGGTAGAAAACAATCGTCGTCGCTCGTCCTTTGCAAGAGCTGTTTATTACATGTGTCTTTTCACAGTCAGTGGGAGGGATACCGGTGAAAATCAGTACTTATAATACACCGATCGTGTTACCCCAGTGGATTGGGTTACAGCTACGGATATACATATTTTATACCACAGTGCATACTCGGAAACATTGTCAGCTCTCTATGGGTGCGAGACGGCCGATAAAACATCATGAGAAATTAAAATGCCAATAAACTTTCAAAGTGAGAGAATTTTATTTATATTGACGTTGGCAATGGTCCGGAGTGTTCAATGATAAGGTCTCGTACATAACATAGGATTTAGCCGTTTTCCGACCGAGTATAAAATGTTGAGTTTGTTGTAGAACTAACACGCTGAATGAGTTTTATTTTCCAATTACTTGGCGATATCATCCGAACTTCTATTGTGTTCATAACGACTGCGATATAAATTATTTTGGACAATTTTATAGCTTTGCGAGAAACTCGCTGGGGGGGTACACTGACCTTGAACTGTGCATATTCTCCATTCATTATTTTTGCTTAAGATGTTTGTCGTCAAGCGGTCGATTGTTTTTTAAAAGTAAATTGTTATTTCAACAATTTCATTACTAAAATTCCTTTTATTTTTACATGCAACCGTTTATGAGCGGATTAATCAAAGTTGAAATAAATTATAGAATATTCTCATGCGAAACGATATTCAATAAACTGATGTTATGTTTCTAAAAGATTTTAAGCTTAATTGTACGGCTTTTAATGATAATTCAAAAAGCTTATTATTTAACATTCGTATGCCGCACAATAATTTTTACCATAAAATTTACAAACTAAACGTTTTTTTACTCAAGTATTACACATTCATTTATATTTTATTTATTATCCGCGCGTACATTAGAATTTAAATTGTCTGCTAAAGTACAAAATGGATAAAATTTAGTTTGTATTACTTGCAGTCAGCGCGTATCGCTGTTAGTTAATTTTATTGAACGTCTCCTACGCTTGGTGCGACAGACAATCGAAATTAAATTAATATTCAAAGTATCCAGTTATAAAGAAATAATTCTTTTTTATTTATATTTTTTTAGTTTTAGTCCGAACGGTAGGACGTCAGACATATTAAATAAACTATAAAATATGTATTAAATAATGCGCATAATCCGCAAAATGTGTAAAAACTTGAGCGAAAATTATTTAACCCGTCCGACCGTATTATAACAAAAAAAAAAAAAATATCGTAAAACGTACTTTATACATTTCTTTGTAGTCTCCAAAAAGTTTTCTTTATAGACGTCACTTTAAAACGCAGTTAAGTGCCTAGTTGTGTCATGTTCGCCGCTCTCGGGTTTATAATATTATAAATGTTTTTAGAAATTTATTTATTGTCGTCGGGGCGACAAATTCCGACACGATATTGTAGTAACCTCCAGCAGTCCGAGTATTTTTGCACCACATTTATGTTCTTATAAACATTGTTAGTAAAAAAAAAAATCAAGAACTACGTGTACCGGCTTAAAATTAAAATTGTCACGATATCTGTACAATCGATTTGTGAGTCCTTGACCAAATGAAATGATAATAAACTAGTATAACGTTAAAATGCTTTTGTGATTAACCGCTTTTGAATGCTTAAAAACTGACAGATAAGATTTATGTGCGTTTTGCCGCTTAGTATTTTGTTAGTGCCAAATTCTTATACAAGATTCCAATTCAAGTATACGTGTATTTAATGAGAAAACAAAAGATTTTAATATGTTTTTATGGTTTTTTCAGATTGTTTGATCCTATAACATATAGAATAATTTTTTATAGTAAAAAAATAACATAACTTAAGATATAAAAATTGCTCTTAGAATATTTTATTTTTTTTTTTTACTCTGTGACAAAGTACATAGTTTAATAACGGGATTTTAATAATCCTTTTGCAGTAATGGTGCCGAACATAACACTCTTTAGTTTTATTATACAAAGTATATAAAACAAAACCCATGTTGTTTTCGATATTTGTATAATACATTTTTTACAGTAGTCGGTATTTAACGAAAGACCACCCCACAAATGTCTGTGTCTGTAGACGTTGTTGCAAGTATTGATTATATCTCTGTACAGTTGTATATTACGTTGATTAAAAATAAACGTATAAACAGTATATTATAATTAGTTTCTTAAGGAACCGCGTGCATATCATGTTTTTGTTGTTAAAGAAATCGTTAAAACATTAACATGACAAACAAATTCGTCGTAAAGTCGACGGTTACTTTTTTAAATTCGTTTCAGATGACTATCGAAAAAGAAAAAAATTTAAATTATTAGGAAATTAATAATGATGGATGAATATTATTTTCCTAAGTTGACATGATATTTCGATATCTACTTTTTTCGATCTGGTTTATAGGTTTTCTCCCATAGCATTTCACTGTCTGACGTCCAATTACACGTATAATGATGATTTTTTTTCTCTTTTGCATCTCGGCTTCGTTTTTAATTTGTATTTTTTTAATAATAAATTATGTATCGTATCTGATAGTGTACGTTGCAGTGAATGCGTTTAATTCGATCGTACAAACTCGTTCTCCGCACCACCTTTCACGGCGTACTCGAGTCATATTTCTCATCGGCAAACGGTAATTAAGTATTTAACGACTATTGAGATCCATTGAGTTAATATTTAAAAAAAAAAAATAGCAAAAACTATTTCAAGAGAAATATTCTATTAATAAGGATTCCTGTTATGCGACTCGTAAACTTAGAAAATTTCGTGTTGGCGTTTTGTTCGCTAAAAAATTTATAGTTATTTTTGAATAAGTATTTAAATAATTTAATTGAATAGACATCCCACGTCAATGGGTGTCGTGAAAATGATTACGTTGACCAACTCGCTATTAAAACTTCAACTGTATAATTTGTTAACAATTTTTATGTAAAATTTTAACGAGTCCGTTGTTTGGTGTCATTTTCTGCACAATTTTATGAGCCTTCGGAGACGACAACGAGATTAGTTCTCGTCGGTAAACGTTTTGTTTGAACATCTCGTCGAATTCAAAACGTCAATTACACAAACTAACTATTACCGAGGATTGTTTTCCGAAATTACAGCTATTATTCCGTATGGGTTGTTCGAGTGGAGCAAAATGTGAGAAAAATATGTTTCCGATCACATTATTGTAACCATATGGTTACACTCGACTTTCACCGACTCTCTGATGATGACCTCCGTTCCTCAAAATTGTTCGGGCCGATTACGAATCGTTATGGGTCTTTCTTGTCGTTATTGGTTTATTCGCCAACGAATTGTCATGTGTTCTCTGTGTTTATCAACGCGGTCGTCAGGGATAAAGAGGAAGCCGTTGAATTCGTCTCAAAGTAATGATTGTGCTGTGTTGAAAAATCAAATGACTCACACGGTAAAGAGCCGTTTAACCTTAGACAATGTTTAAGATCGGTACCCCGAACGCGGAGGTGGACCGTTGCTGCCAAGTGAGACTCTTGAGCATGGGGCAATAGGTAATTATCTTGCGGACAGTCGGTGAGACGGCGGAGCCGACGATTGTATCTCGTTTGTACGGATTGTAGTCGGCGGCGGCGGCGGCGGTCGTTGCTGGTGGTGAACTCGTGTCCGGAATCCTTACACGATGGAGTTGGTGGACGTTTGGCGGTGGTGGGGCTAACGAGATGACCGGTATTTCCCTCCGGTACTACACCTCCCCTGCACTGCATCTTGCTCTCTTTGTATTCTCTCACACTTTTTTTTCTGTACTGTCCGCATGTAGTTCGAAAACAACAGACAAATACACACTTCTTGTTGTATAAACCAATGTACGGAATACAAAATAAAGAATACGATGGAAAAAACAAAGCCGACCGCCAATAAGAATGGCTTCGCTGGAGCTGCGGTAGTTGTAGTGCGACTTCTGTGCCACGCGTCACGATACGGATAATGTCTAAAATATTGTATCCGACAATTATAATGAGCCTTTTTTAATGCCATTTATTCTTAATTATACGCCAATAAGTCTTTATGAAGATGCGCAAGTAAAAATACGAGATAGTCAAAAGGAAAATATGCGAACCGTCGCTGTACTTAAAGTTGAATAATGTGCTTGAATAGTAAAATTAAATTTGACATTGGTTAAACGATTTGTTTGTGTTTTTACGATTGACATTGAATCGTGGTTGTAATATTGTTAAAAAATAATCCATAAATTAAAGGACAATGTGTTAATTTGTTAACTCTTAAATTTTATCTAAAATGCTTTTGTATCCTCAGAATTCTTTTATTTATCTAAAGCAACATGCCTACGTATTTGAAACAACATCAATGATAAAATATTTTTTTCATATAACACATTTATTTAAATATTAAAAATAATAACTATTAAACCTTTTTTTTTTTTTTATGTGCAATCTAAAAGTTACCTTAAATTTTTATACGATTTTTATATGATTTTGTTTGAATTTTTTCCAATAACAACAAAATATAATTGATTTACATTAAATATACGTGATTATTATGCAGGGTGTTCAGTAAGTAAGGAAACAGGTCAATTGTTATAAACAATTAGAACAATAGAAACCCGTTTGCTTACTTACTGAACAGCTTACATAGTGTTAGCTATATTTTTTAATTGGGGTAAACAATAAAACATGTAAAAAGAATTTTTAAGAAAACATGATTTTTCCTAGGGGTATTAGTATTTATAAACAATAAGAAACTGTAAACAAGAATTTTTCAATAATTTTTATTATATTTTTAATATTTATTGTTACAATAAATATTTATTATTGATTCGTTATTTTGGACCTGTTGATCTTTTTTCATTGGAATTTTTGTTAGATTTTATTTGATATATATTCCTTGAAGAATTTTTCTGATTATTTTTATTCGTTGAATATTTTTGGTTGATTATTTTTGTCGGTTCTTCTAGATTTAATTTTTCAATTGATTCTTTTTTAATGGTTTTTTCTATTGATTCTTTTAGATTCGTTGTTCTTTTAGTCAAATCTTCTTGAGGGGCGTTTTTTGAAATGTTCATTTTATTACCTTTGTTTTTCCAGTTTCCTTTATTTGTAAAGTTTTCTGGGTTATTTAATAAATCTTCTTGATTGGTTATTTTTGTAGAGTCTACTTGTATTTTATTTGTGTTATTTTTATTAACGAAAATAGGATTATGAATAAGTATGTATTCTTCTACGCATTTGATAATATGTCTAATGCATTTATGGTGTCTTTTGCATTTGTTAAAGTTATTACACTTAGTGCATCCATTATCAATTTGGGAGCTAATACTTTTTGAAAGTATATAATTCATTATATTTTTTAATCGTTCAAAATCACAATTTTTTCCTTGGGTCATTTTTTCATAGGCCATTAATTTTTCTTGAATTTCTTTATCGTTTATTGCTAAAAATTAAAATTTTTGGCTTTATACGTTTATAAGTTGACAAATTATAATAATTTTTTTCTTTTATATCGTAAAAAAGCAGTTACATAATTCATAACGTTATAGATTGTTCCGACCTAAACATCTAACAAAGTATAGCCCAGATAAAATTTTTTTAAAAACAATTTTATAACAAAATTGTGTAAGACTAATATAATATACAGAGTGTTCAGTAAGTAAAGAAACGATTTTCTACTGTTCTCATTATTTGTAACAATTTACCTGTTTCCTTGCTTACTAAACACTCTCTATGTTACATAAACGTTAAAAAAGTAATAATTATACTATTAAAAAAAAAAAAAAAAATGTTATCTGGGAAGAATATATTATTTACATATTATTTTTGATCAATGACCAAAATTATTATCAGTCATCAGTCTCATTACGAAATCGTTTTAAGATTATAGTTAATAATAACATTTAGTGATATAAATAAAATAAAATAATATTTCTTAAGTTAATCATTCTTAAGATCATAAACATTATAAAACATAACATTGATGGATTTTTTTTTTGAAACACTATAATAAAAAAAAAAAAAGATTGTCCTATTAAAAAAAAAAAAATTTGAAAATATATTTGGATTTTATTTCAACGTTTATCTAATCAATTAAATAGCTAAATTAATTTTTTTCTGTGGATAATTAAATTAAAAAATGTACATATCATCTTTATTTAATATTTTTTTAAATTGGATTAAAAAAAGAAACAGTTGCTTTGAAAAATTTAGGATGTATTTAAACAATGTCGGATTGTAAAAAAGTTATTTTAATTTAAAGTGAACTCGAGCTGCTTGCTGTAGTACTAAATTTATGAATATACAATACAAAAATCTTATATTGCTATGTAGAATTAAATAATTATGTCTTTTCACTTAAAGAAAATCGGTATTATTCACGTTTATAAATTTTTCGAAAACAGAATAGATTTTAATTTAGAAGTATTTAGATTGTTTTCATGAGCAAACATTTTTTCTTGGATTTTTTCATTATATACTACTAAAAATTTAAACGTTTAAATTAGTTTTTCGTAACACTGTGCTTTAATTATAGCAAAACTTATGGTTAATATTTTATATAATTAATATGTTCAAAACATTTATGAAAACTTACAATGTGCAAGACCGTGGGGATTTAAACATTTATGAAAAAACTCAAGTGTTTCATTTTCAAACTTTTTTTCTCCTGTGATCAATAGCATCTATAAATTTACGTTTATAAATATTTTTATACAAAATTGTTTAAATTAATAAAAACATTAGAATACAAAAATAAAAAATATATTAATAAACTTATAAATTGACTTACTCGTGTACTGAAATACAAGAAAATTGTGAAATTTGATATTACCATCTTCTTGATCATCGAGACACAATTTATAAAATTATATTTTATTATATAATTGTAGTTTGAAGAATTTATAGTGCTAATTTTCAATATCTGATAGTATTTCTGTACTCTTATAGTCATATAAACTACTAACTTCTTAAAATCAACAATTATTTAAAATCAAATTTATTCAAGTTATAATTTATTAATAGAATTTAGTAAACATATTATTACCAATTAAAATAATGAAATTATTTTTTATTTTAAGCAATTATTGCTTGTCTTTATTGTACCCTACGAACAATTCTAAAAATTTAAACATTGTAATTGTTTTGTAGTTAATAATACAGATATAAAAAATATTTATCTACATCAAACTTAATTTAATATTGGCTGGCCAATTTCTAAGTTAAATATAAAAACAATTTTTGAGAAAATTTAGAATTTTTTTTTTTGAAAATTGCTATTCTACTGAACTTAAGAGATTATGGGAACTAGGTTAATTTGACTAGATCGATATCCACTTTTATACAATTTATTTATAAAGTCATTAAATAAAATTAAGATTACCATAAGAAAAAACAACAATATTGATTTTTGTGGGTTACCTTATTATGTATAGTTTTAATCTGTAAAAATGATTACTGCAAGAATTTTAGTACGTTAAAAAATATTATTGGAAACCTGTAAAAATCTTTTAAAATCGTCGTTATTAGCTATGTTACACATCTATTTCTATCTAAGAATAAAACATTTTTATATCAGCTAAGAGTTTAGAGTAGGTCAGCAATATGGCTGATGGAAATTTTAAGTATATTTTTCTATTTAATTATAAATTATTTGTGTAACACACAGTGAATATTAAAACAAAGTATGAACTAATATTTAACTTTCTGTTACTCGCAAATTTTTTTAAAACTAACTGTTCTACCAATGAAATCAATTCCCTAATTTAGAGAAAAAAATTAAATTTTCTACTTGAAAAATTATACGTAGTTGTTTCAATAAATTTAATATAAAATAAAGTGTGTCTCGTTTTTAGATTTTTTAATAATAGGTTAAGTTAAAAAGTATAATCTACTCTCAAAAATATTTCTTCATATATATATAATAAATTTTAAATAATTTCTGTTTTTTGTTTTTTGAAATGGATAATTATTCAAATTTGTTTGTTTAATCAATATTATCGCGAATGTAATTGTTAAAACATTTTTTTTAATACATTATAGTATATTAGTATGGCATATTTCACATGTGTTTTTTAATTCGCAATCACTAAATTTACTTTTATTTATAATGTAGTTTTTAAACTATGAAAATTGTTTTTAAAGTTATATTTGGAATTTTGGCAATTAATAAAAAATAATTATCGTTGTATAAATGATAAAATAAATATTACGATTGACAACTTGATACTCGATAACTAATGAAGATCGTCCTTAGACGAACAAATTTGAAATGTCTAAAATATTATATTAAAAATTTTCACTTCAAAAAAATTTTTGGACTTTAAAGAAAACTACAGAATATATGTAAAAATCTGAAAACTATTTATTGTAGAATTATCTTGCTCTATTTAGATTAAATAATAATATATCCGAGTAGTTATATTTCTTTATTTGTAAGATAGTAAATTATGATGCACGTACCTACTACAATTGAATTATTAGTTATATCATTTTATTTTAATATACACAAATAGCGTACAATTTGTTAAAAAATATAACTATTATATAATAGAATTATTTTTAGTATTGAACTGGCTATATTTTATCAATAGATAATAATTTACAACAAAATAATTTTCAATGAGTGACTTGACATCATCATTACATTTCATATAAGTGGGTTTTCATTTTTCACACGTAAATTATATATTGAAGACAATAAACAAATTTTATGATTTGAGGTGGTTGCGAATTGAGTGATATTGAGTCGTGAATGCTCGACCGAATCTGTTCAAGTTCGGTATTTTGTTTAAAAAATGATGTACATTATTCACATAAAATATTTAATTGTAAATCAGTATATAGACGCATCCCATAATTGACATAAAAAAGATCTTTTGGTCTGAGCATCTTTGTAAGTTCTAAAGTTCCACTATATTATAATTATATTTATTAATACTAAAAAATATCTTAAATATAAATTGATTAAAAGACATAATTTTAATTATATCTCAGAAATTAAATTAAGTAAGTTACTGTTAGCGATGTAAAATACAACACGCTTATTATTCCTCTTATGGAAGTGTAGACTTCTTAAATCTCAACTAGAAATTACATTTAGTATCTATGGAAATATTCTTAATGTGATATGGATATCATTAATTTTATCTGTTGGTTTTTTTGAGACTTTCTAGCATATAGATTCAATTAGAATTTAATCAAATTCATAATTTGATCTAAACGACCCAAAAGTATTCGTTCTCATGATGAGACGATGGGACGAATTAATGGTCATAGACTTTGTTATTATATAGTTGTCAGAATGCTTTAAAAAAAAACAAATTTAATATCGAACGAAAATCGATTATCATCCGTAAGCGATATACTTCTTCAATATAAGATCTCCAGACTTGACAGTATTCATTTATAACCAACACAAATTTAATACGATGTAATCGAAAAAACTTTTCATTCGAGTACTTGGTCGAGGTTGTTTAAAACATCTAAAATTCTTTTCCTCCAACTTACGTCCATTACGATTTATTACTAATAGAATACAGTTCCGTTGATGTATCATATTGTACACAAGACGCATTTGCGTTTTCAGACCTTAATTGATGTATAGCTTGATTTCATCTCCTATTTATTATTCTATTTTATTTGAAATCGTTACTAGTTTATTATAAGTCCAATGGTTTAACATGGAAATTATTATGTCTTAAATTAAAGAAATGTCATTTCTTCTTATAATTTACAACAAAATAAAATACGTTAATTGACAATTTTCATATCAATTAGTAATAACATCAATGATGGTTATTTATGTTTATACATTTTTACTATAAAAAACATGTAGACGATAAATTATTTCATTTTTTGTTGATGTTATATAATTTATATGCGTTTTTTGTTCTCTTTCAGGTACGTAATGCTTTCATAAACGAAGAGATGTTTTAAGCTTATCGTCTTTCAACACACTGCAGCTCTGACGTGTCTAATATCATAAATGATCCAAAAGACGCGTATATACTGTGGTGCACCTCAGTCGAAAATCATTGTGCTGTTATCATGATTATTATTGTTGTTTTTTTTACCAGTTCAATGACAGGACCGTGCAAATCGATTCGCACCAAAACCATAAACGTTCGAGTATATTTGATTAACAAGATTATATAATTATTTTCGATGGTCAATGTTGGAAGTCTCCCATCATTGTCTGGAAATACTTCTCTGGCGCTTGAAAGAGTTGACCCAGTTTTATGTCGAACATATGTACACACTCGGGCGTATTTCTAGACTAATTAGATGATCTCTTAGTTTTAATGCAGTTGCATTCTAAAAATATAAATCATAACCACAAGAGTATATAAAATGAGATTTCTCAGACGGATTTAAACCGAATAATATAATTTAACGCGATTGTTTTTAAAGTTGTCGTGGTTATGCAGCAGTTTGCTATTATGCAGTTATGATCTTTCGTGCGAACGGAATAGTCTAACGCGGTTGGCTCTCAGCGTTCTGTTAACTGCATCTTATGTATAAATTTATGAAATGTATATTACGCTTGTGAATAGTCTTTGTTTGTTTTCCCGGTAAATTTTAAACATTATTCAGAAGTCTCGTAAAATCCTTTGGTTGGAAACTATTGTCTAATGCTGCTTTTTTATGGCCAGTGCAGCAGAACTATGCTTTTAGTATTTGCGTACACGTTTACTACGGTAAAAGTGATTTAAATGTTAATTTTTTTCATAACTACGCACGGATCTATTATTTATCTTCTCTGAATTCATCTTTATACATAAAACAAGGAAGTAGACAGTGTAGCTTTTATTAAAAAAATAATATTATAGAGAAATTTCTTTAGTCCCCGGCAACTTTGATCTTTGTACTGATGTTATTGTCAAGTGTTCAATAGACTAATTCGATCCCATGGCCAATTTTTCTTTTCGCCATGTCCGGTTAATGGAATAATGATCGGTGCTCAAGGCATCGTGTTCGAAAATGGGTACTTTTAGAATAAATTTTATTGTTACCCGTTGACTATCGTTCGGAAAATTATGGAAAAATCACAGATTTGACACAATGTAAGAGTCATGATGTCGGATTGAGCCCATCGAGAATAACATAGGAAATAATTTTCCAACGGTAATTATCGATTGGTGAAGATTCCGGCATGAAGAGCTGGTTTCTCACAACGGTCAGTGGAGCCTCCCACTACATGATATAAAAATAAAAAAAAAACATTACTTTAAACACATATCTAAAGGGAAACGCGCGCGCTGTCGTGATCGATTCTCGCCTAATCATGACAATCGGCTCATAGCGCATAAAAGCGTTTTGCTCTGTTAACCCTAATGAACTCGGTAACGTGTTTTTCGTTTTTTTTCCTCCTCCTCCTCCCATTCGCCCCGACTTGCATACAGTCGCCGAAATAATATCTTCAAGAGTGCCTTGTGTATATAAGAACGTATACTTATTATTACGACTGGAGTAATTTATAGCTTATTGGTTTCTACTCTTTGGTCGCCAACGTTGCATTCACTGCGTTCGATCAAGCCGTGAACGTTCCGGTCCATTACTTATATAATTATTAAAACAAATTCCAATCTGTAAAATTGACAATATCCGTCTTGGAATTTGCGTTAATTTCTGTCACGAACATCGATCGACCTTCTAAACAGCAAATGAAAGCAAAAGCCAGCCCAGCAAATCGTTTGTCTCCAGCACCGCCGGTCGAACAAACACGCGGCTGTCTAGCCGTTTTTGCGTTGGCCAATACAAAAATCCACAGGTGTTATTTTTTTATCGAAAAACGATATCTGTATTATTCCGATTAGTCGCTACACACTTTAGATACGATCAGCTATCAAATCAACCGGTAGCATGCGTTACGACCATTAATATAACACAAACATTTTTATTATTGTACTGAGAGGTTTTAGCAATGACCTGATTTGATCCAGTAGACTGCAAGTTGGCATATGGCGT